CCGCTCACGCAGAAGACGCAGCTCATCATCTTCACGTGAAAGGAAGCATCGCCGCGACATCGGTCGCGAGAGAAACCACCGCGGTGATCTCCAGCTAGACAGCAGGAGCAGGGTTCGCGAACGCTCAGGTGAAGACTATGGGCGAGCCTCCAGTTAGAAAAAGATTTGGCAGAATGACAAGGGGATAGGCCCTGCACCGAGAGTGGAGGCCAATCTGATCGGGGCACAGCCCCGTCGCCCCATAGTGTTCTGGTTCTGGGGACCTGTCCCCTGCGAGTGGAACGCAGACATCCGCGCAGGCCATCGTCTGCGAGTCCCTCGCGAATCGCACTGCAGGGTCACCGCGCCAAGTTGTAGCGCCCGCCGTGGAGCTCTGTGTTGAGTTGGAGCGTGCTAGTGACACATTGGGGGTTCACACAGTCCTTCTCAGTCCGATATCCCACGTTAGAGGAGAATATTGAGCTTAGGGGCGATTTGTGTATCTCGGGGATAGGATAGGCCCGAAGATTGGTGACGCAGGAGTCACTAGCTGTGATGCATGCGTGGACTGACAGCTACGGCTGGGGCCCGCGATGTTTTCATGATATCAGTGGTGCTGATTTCTGGCGAGCTTGCAATGATGTTTCAGAGAGCACGTAGCAGCATGTACCGCGCGAATCCTTTACAAGAACATGCTTTGTAGGTGACCAGGACACCGGTCCTGAGGAGGCAGAGCTAATCTCACATGTTGAGATGGCTCGGGAGCCGAAGGGAGATGATGATGGAAGCGGAGCCTATACCCTGAGGAAAAGGAGCAACTGATTTTGGAAAGTATGCCCTTGCCCGTCACGCCAGCCACTGAGGCTGGACGCCGAGCAGCCTGGAGGGCCTCCGTGAAGCCTTCGGACATATTCCCGGAGCAGTGTTAGCACAGGTCCGTAGACAAGCAATGGCTTCTCTGGAATTCATCAAGGCTGCTCAGCTCCACAGATGTACGATTTGCCTGGACACCGCGCCAGTGCCTAGACACCATCCAGTTTCAGGAGATTCCCCGTGTCCGCGAGAATTTAATCATACTGTCGGCGTAAACTGCCTGGAAGCGAAAGACTATTCCGGCAATCGCTACACAGCCGTCAGCATAGTTGACGTAGGTACGAGCCAGCAGATAGCGATTGTTAAGACCGGCGGCGGTAATCCTAGCTAGCGCCCACCAATGCCTCAAAGTGCTATCGGAGAGGCGGATCTTCTGAGCAGGACACCCCAGAAACATAGTTGCTGATTGTGGCACCGATTTCAAGGACGAATTCACCCAGTACCTAGCTCAACATGGCATACGACATCATAACAAGGCTCCCTGAAGGCGGGAGCTTGAAAGCCGTCGGTCTCTTTCAGGGCCCCCAGGAGCTGATCTGCATCGGCCGGGGATGGCCTTGCGGCTGAGGCTTTCGCCGGTCCCGTCTTTGCAGGAGGGCCCAACAAGAAGCTTGCAAAGGCAGAGGCAGATCTGGCGCCTGGCTGGTTCTTGGGGAGGGAGAACGGCATCTGGTGCGCGGGCTTTGGTCTTTGAGCGCCGGCCGCTGAGGGCTTGCTGGCGGGCCCCGAGCTGCTGCAGTTGATCTGTGAGGCGGGGCATCGCCGACAGCAGCTGGTCGATCTGAGTTGCCAGCTGGTTTGTTGTCACCCTCTTCGCTTTGGCTGCTGCTCTCTTGGGGCCGGCCTGAAAAGGAGGAGCAGGCTCCGGTGCTTCTTCCTCGGGCACTCCGGCCTCCGCATCTTCGACGGCAGAGTAGAAGGCCATTCGGTCGTCTCCCTGGCTGCGAAGCCAAGCTCGGGTGAGGGCTAAAAGCCGGCTTACCTCCGGGAACCTCTGAGGCTGCACGGGGTCGAAAGGAACAACGGAGACCCCATCGGCAGGGTCGTAAAGCGTCATGTGTGCGGCAGCTGCGTTGGCCACGTCGATGACCAGAACTGACAGGGTTTCTGAGGTAGGTTCTTCGACTCCTTCCTCGTCCTCCTCCAGGGATGGCACTTCCAGGATGGTCGATGGCCCATGCAGTCCCACAGCTGAGGCTTCCCGGCCAAAAGCTAACAGGTTTGGCGGCACAGATCCTGTGGGGAGGCAGAGAAGGAAGCCTCCCTCGCGTTGTAAAAGCGGAGCACACAAAACCTAAGCATCGCCGTCGCGGGGGACCCCAGCCACTGGTGCTTTCCCGGTGTAAGGCACCAAAAGACCCGAGGAGGCGTACAAAAGCTCGTTGGCGTTCATTGCTGCGAAGCTGGCTCAGGGAAGGGCACCGAGGCGGCTCTGCAGTAAACACGGGCCTCCCTTTCGGTAGGGAAGCCGTGGCAAACCGTCCCGGGACGGAGCTTGCCGGTGTAGGACTTGAACTCACTGAAGGTCCTGAAGAACTTGGGTTCCCAAGATGAGGGGGTGCACAACACAATGTACACTCGACTTTTGACTGATAGCTCCCGAGTAGGGGGCACGCAGTCAATCTCATGCCTGAGCACTTTGCCTGCCTCCAAGCCGGCGGTCCAAGCCCGCTGCGCGCGGGACTGCCGAACGGCGGCTCCCAAGGTTGAGCAGAGGAACAAGCAGTCGGTAGGCAAGGCTGGGGTAGGGGAGGCGCTAGGGTACCTGGGACTAAACCTCCTAGAAGGGGCCCTACAACCACTACAAGGGTCAACCGGGTCAGGCGATGCAGCAGAAGGAGGAACGTCCTCCACGACCTCCCCCTCGTCGTGGGTATTGCGGGTCGCGGCCGGCAGCGCACGCGACAGAACACCGGTGGCAATATGAATTTGCTGAAGGGCCTCAGAAAAAGCTTCCAAGTCCAAGGGGCTTGCCCTATCACTCATGCAAGTACCCCCGCAGCCGCAAAGAAGCCTGAGAGGCCCGAGGTAAAGGAGCCAGGGCCGGGGGAGCAGGAGACAAATGCGGAGTTGCTGAAGGGAGCAAGGTGTTGCGAAGGAGATAAAGGCAGAGGACGACCCCGGACGAGAGGCCAGCGAGGAAAGAAAGGAGGGGAAGGACGAGGCCCCCTTGGCAATGAGCGAGGCAAGCCAAGCCCCACCACCCCGAGGTCGAACCCTGAACCACGAACCCCAAAACTTGAGGCAACCAGCTTGATACTCGAGCCTTGAGATTGCGCACCTTTCATGCTCAACCTTACATGTACAAAGCACTGCAATCGAACTTTTTAATTTACGGAGGTCAGCACGGCTTCTTCAACTATGGCACAAAAAAATAGGGTGGAAAACCACAAATCGCTAAACCTTAAACCTGGTGCATAGCCGTACTGAGTGACCTGTCCACCTTTGTGTGTCAAGTCCTGCCTGCCGCACGTGAAGAAGCAGATGGCCTTGGATAGCTTGCGCTATGTCTCATGTATGTATGTCTGTCTCTGTCTGTCTGCCTGCCTGCCTGGCTGGCTGCCTGTCTGCCTGTCTGCCTGGCCTGGCCTGGCCTGGCCTCGCCTGGCCTCGTCTGGCCTCGTCTGGCCTCGTCTGGTCTGGTCTGGTCCGGTCCGGTCCGGTCGGGTCCGGTCCGGTCCGGTCTGGTCTTGTCTGGTCTGGTCTGGTCTGGTCTGGTCGATCTGTCTGTCCGCATGTGTATATATATATATATAGGCATATGTATATCTACATCGGTACCTATGTACGTGTATATGTATATATGTATATGTATGTGTATATATATATATATGTGTGTATATATACATACAGATACATACAGATATATACAGATACATACAGATACATACAGATACATACAGATACATACAGATACATACAGATACATACAGACATACATACAGACATACATACATACATACATACATACATACATACATACAAGTACGTACATACATACAGGTACATACAGGTACATACAGGTACATACAGGTACATACAGATACCTACAGATACATACAGATAGATACAGTGCATACATACATGCATGCATGCTACATACGGATATATATATATATACATACATACATACATACATACGTACGTACATACATACATACACACACACACATTTGTGTGTGCAACTTTTTTACAGATGAATCTTGCACACATGCATGCAAACATACCATCAGGAAACATCACCGTGAGGCACGCTCGAAGCTGTAGCGACGATTAGTCCCAGAGTCTGAAAGTGCAGATCACCACGTACGCGGAATCGGCAATGTCAAAGCAGCCCCTGGCAACATGGTCATGTCATTCTCAATGGCTGTGTAACATCAGAAGAACATGAACCAGGATGTGTTTGCAGGCTTCTGCCAGGATCAACGCGTGCACGGGATGGCTGAAGTGAGGTCTCTGCCTGGCGCCAGAAACCTATCCTCGGCACGACGGCATGTGGGGCCCTGTCGGTCTCATGCCGGTCTGATGCCTTCAAGACTGCAATTCACAGTGCTAGGCTCTGCAGTTACTCCCGGCTGCCCCTTCACTGTGATTGGCACGATGTCGCATGAATGCCACTCCCCTATTCGCGAGCAGTTACTCAGTCTCAGATGTCAGACTTAGAAGACTTAGAAGTTTCCTGCATGCGTCAAGCCGCTTCCACTCTGCATCTGTCGGATCTATGAATATTCGTAGATTTCGGTATGAGAGCTTTGAGCCTACGTGAAATGTCATCCACCAAGCGGGGATACCAACAAAACCTTCAAGCAGCTCATGCTTCAACCAGGCCAAATCCTCCGGAGTGACCTTATGGCCTTATGGGATCGGGTTCGTTCGATCTTCTCCTTGGCTGTGGGGTCGCTCTCACCACGCAGTGCTCAAGGGACGACAGGCGGAGCTGAGCCATGCACTGCTACAACCTACAGGGGGCACGAGAGCTGCCCCCGGATGGCAGCGACAATATACTAAACATCCCTCAGCAAGGAGTCGCGGGAGGAAGGCCAGGCAGTCTGTGCAATGGCCACAGAAGCGTGCAGAGTCGGCTTTCGGACATCGTGAATTTGGCGCTTCGCCAGGGCAGTAGTGTCGCTGCTTCGGTTTCCCGCGCGCTAGGAGTCCAACACTGAGTCTTCCAAGATCGCAGCAGTCTGAGCCCGGGGCACCTGCATCAACCGCTGCCTCTCCGCTTCGAGATCCTTCCAGGAGGTTCCAAGCAGGCACTTTCAGAACATGAAACGATAACATTCATATTATAGAACTTCTGCTAGTAGAACTCAAAATCTACGGCTCCCCGGAGCAAAGGGTACAGTATCCTGTGTTGCAAGAAACGCCGAATGAGTGCAGAGCACTTGCCCGGTCCGAGGAAGGCTGCTCTCCCGCATTGATGATAAGCTCCTGGACATTGACATGCCTTGTGTATAAGTGGTCCTTCTTGGGGTGTTCATGCATTAAGTACTAGTCTTCCCCGATACTTAGTGCAAGATGTTGCCCGGTACACAGGCCTCTGCAGCAAGGATGCGCGCCGTGTCTTTGCCAGCATCCTGCAGAAAGAGGCCGGTGAGTTCTTTGGCAGCCACACAGAAGCCAGCCTGCCGCTCGAGCAATCCCAACAAATACGGTGCCAATGGATTTGACCTGAGACGGGACGGGAAACCGGGAAACAAAGTGTGGAGGCCTGCGGGATTCTTTCCAAGGTACTTCGAGCTGATTCTCTGCGACTCATGCAAGGCCTTGGAGCTCTAGTCATTGAAGGGCTATTTTTCCGCCGCATCCGCACTGTCCCACACCCTTTGCCTCTTTCGCTTCGTGTAGCCGCCGCCAGTGGATCAAGAAGTACCTCAAAGACGGCAGTGACCCAAGCAGCCGCATTTACAGTGCCAGCCATCGGCACTTAGATCCCAACCCCAGACGACCTAGCGAGTGGGCTGCTAGGACATTCCGTCGCGTTTGTCGAGCCAAGCGACTTGCCTCGTGTGCCATCAAACCTCCTACCTATGTGCCACGGCAGTGCGCTCTGAAGTGAACCGGCCTCCCGATAGCGCCATTCAGCAGCAGTCGCATGATTTCGCTCTGCCAACCACTTGGCATGATAGTAGAGGCGCAATGCCTGAGAAGGGAGGGAGCCAAGCTCATAACGCACGAAAGCCGCGCAGTCCTGCAAAGTCGTTGTCCAAGGGCAGTGCACGCTCTGCCAGCTTGACACGCTGATGCTGCTGTGGAGCTGCTTGAACAGCTGATGCAAGCAGATCCTCCAAAAGTCGCCACAACGGTGCAAGGGGCTGTGCCAGATTGGCGTCCTCTGCTCTTAACATCTGCCGTGGAACTCCGGCACGGGAGCCCTTCCAGTCCGAAGCCTCACATTTCGTCGCCGTCCGGATCGCTTCGATATCCGACGTCAGAGCTCCGCACCCACGGACCAGCAGCAGACTCGGAAGCCAGGCAGGCTCTTTTGCTATAGTATACACCTCAAGGGAACGAGCGTGAAGCCTGCCCGAACATCACATGCCATGCGCGATTCTGAGCATGGGGCCCCAGGCGAACTGTGCCTCAGGATCTGTTCGAATCACATGGCAGAAAAGTACGGAGAACTCTGCCTGGCCTCCCATCCGTCAGACTCTGGGAGTGCAGGAGGCGGAACGTTCGCATCACTGGCACTGGCTGATGTCCTAACGCGACAGGGTTCTGGATGGTTCTGGCCCTGGCAAAAGCAGAGTCATCCGAGGCCGGTACGCCGCAGGTCCTGCAAAGACACTTGCACTACTCCACACGTCGGACTTGGCTGGGTCAAGACCTGGTGCCAAAGCGCTTTCACCAGTTTCTGGCTTAGCGACGGCCTCCGCGCGAGACCTGGGTTCTGCGACAACGCAAGCATGTGCTTGTTCTCACGTTCCTGGTCGTTCCTGGTTCCTGCAGCGTCGGGCCTGGCTGCTGGCACCTTTGCACCAGACTGGGCCCATGCCTTGGATAGCATCCCTCACCGCTGCAGTTCTAGAATTCCGAGAGATAGCGAGACCTAGACTGCGTAAGCCTCCGGCACCGTCAGCCCCTCGGCTGGGGTCGGGCACCTTAGAAAGGACTCATCCCAGAATCTGGAGGACGTCTCAATTGCAAAGCGGGGGTCGCACTGCAGATGTTGGGCCACCGAAACCTGCCAAGACCAGGCTTGTTACGACATGCTGCAGGTCTTCTGGCCATCCCTTGCACGTTCCTGGCCCATGCTTGTACATTTGGCTACACTGATTTCGACGCAGTGCGCCTCCCGTGGCTCTGGCTGTGGTACAAGAGGCACAGGCCTGGGATGACTGACATCTGCTGCTTTTGCAGGGGCTGTTACGAGTACCTTGCACGTGTTTTCCGTGCCGCTGTCAATTTGGACAGCCCTGGCTCTATCTAGCACACCAGCACACCAGCACGGGATGACGTCGCGTCACCAGAAACGAGTCTGGTCGGCAGAAGCCCGAGACGCCGGGCCGTAAGCAACTACACGCGGTCTCTCCGCGGTGGGTTTCGCAAAGGCCTGGCCCGCATTCGCCCGCTTCCGCTTGTGGAAGGTGGAGCAGAGCCTCCTTGACTCTGCACGATTCCACCACTTCAGCTTGAGGGATGTCTTGAAGACCTCGCTTAAGCCCGAAGAAGCTTCAGCTCACGGCGGACATCTTCAAGCTCCTCTTCCAGGCGAGCGTGAGCCTCTTCGGACTTTTCCGCGTCCTCGATCGCGCGGGCCTCGAACCTTTGCTTCGTGGAAGCATCCAAGGCTTCCCACCGCTTCTGGCAGGCCTCCCGCAAAAATCCAGGGAGCTTCTCGCGCAGACCATGGAAGAGGGCTGGCACCCCGCCCTCTTTAAGCACGGCCTCCTCGACGAGTTCCTGCTGGTCGTGTTCCGAAAGTTGCTGGCGCCAGAAGACGATCGAAGGCCGCGGTGCTGGGACCATTGAAAGGCGCTCACGCAGGCCGATGGCCCGCCGTTCGAGATTATGCTGTCGCTCCTGTAGCACCTTCTGCCTCAGCCTGTCTGGCATGTCTGCAAAGACACCTTCATCTCCCGGACATGCCTTGGCAATCACTGGTGCCAAGCAATCCCAGAGTGCCGTGCATGAAAACCTCTTCGTCAGCTCAAGCACTTCCGGGAGATCAGCCGTGCCAAACATCTTGGAAAGCCGCTGGGAGCATCTCAGGACTAGCCCTGACAGCTCGAAGCGATCGGCTGCCATCAACAGGTCCATGCTCTCAGACATATCCAGGTTCGACACTGAATCTGTGTAACACCAGTGCAGCAGCTGATCCAGAACAGCTCTAGGTATGTCCTGCAAATGAACGTGTCGCTTACCATACAGCAGCTGACCTTCCAGCATGCGCGAAGCCAACATGTTTCTGAACACTGGGGAGCGTGCTGCTAGGATGACACTGTTTGCTTCACGGCGATGATCACCGGCAGTTATCAGAACGTCTGAAAACTCGTTTTCCGGGCCCAAGCGTGAAATGTCTGCGAGGAGGCTACCCGCCATGGCCGCATAAGCTCTGACCCCACCTCGGCCTGAGCCCTTCCAAGAGGCTGAGGATTGCGATGATTCCCTTTCAGTCCCGGCACTCATGGACTAAGCGGGGAGCCAGGCAAACAGCCAGGATCGCTTTGCAGGTCATTTCTCCTCAAGCAGCGACGAAGCCACACACAGCACACGAGCTTGAGACCCACAGAAACACAAGGTGCCGTCCTGCGAAGTCCCACGCCGCCTCAATTGAGCGTACCGTTCTTGCAGCCTTCTATGCCACAGTAACCGTCTGCAGCTCCACTGAGCACGCATAGCACGACACACTCACCAAAAGACGTTCTATATAACATAATTATGTTGTAAGCTCAATCTTCATCTGAGATTGTATTCATGTTTATATTCTTATACTTAGTTCATGACTTCTTAGTTTCTGTTGATGCTCATATCCATGCTTATGTTTAAGGCTATGCTTCAAGTGTGGAAAGGCAAACTATGTGTAGAGGGATGCGCTCATGCTGAAATTTTGTCTCCGTCGCAATCTTGTCTACTCCGGAAGCTTTTCAAGCCAGGCCAAGCCCTCTTCCGTCGTACGACGCGGATGATACTCCAAGCCGACGTGTCCTGTGTAGGCCTGCGCAGCCATGGAATGTCTTCTCAAGCCGCAAACCCTGCCAACAAAACCCGGTATCATCGCAGCTTGGGTGCCAGCTCGCCCCGAAGAACGTGCTGCAGAAGGTGCGGAAAGTTTATCTCTTGCCTTCGGGGTGTACTAACAAAACATACCTGAAACGCAAGATGCCGACAGAAGATCTGCAACAAAAAAAACATGCGGGAGACGGCACTTCCTTCGGCATCCGAGAGCAAAGAGGCCGAGGCTCAAGGGGTCTAAGCTCGTTCCCTGCTAGTTTGGGCCTGTCATCTGGCTCAGCTCTGTCTGGAACTCCTGCAACTTGAACGTGGCCGATGAGGTCCTTAGCCAAGACTGAGGGCACACAGGGAATGGCCAAAAAGAGCAAATGGCCATCTTCCTCTCAAGTTCCGGGCTCCAATTTGCAGGGACCGCTTGGAAGCGATAAGTATGCGGTGGCTTTTCATCAGCCAAAACATCCATGTCTGGGATAGGCGTCACCATCCTGGTAGTACTAGTTTATCGCAAGAACATTCCGAAGCACAAGATTGGAAGCAAGAAGCCCGTATCCACCGGTTACCGGGCCGTTCGAACCTGGCCAGGAGCACCATCAGAAGCGTGAAGTGGACGTCCCTTCGGCCCGATGATGACCAAGAAACCGACCAAAGCATACGCAGTGCTGATGTAGAGGCTGATTCTGACAAACCGTATTGCGTGCAAAATTTCTGCCCTGTCAGAGTCAGTGCTGCCTCGTCGTGATTTTGGCTAGCTCCTACCATGCTCTGTAAAATCTGATAAGCAATGAGCACGCAACCCAAGGCGCCCCATACTTGCGGAGGTTCGTGGTGAGGTCGCCTTACTGTCTTCTGGACACAGCTCTGCGAGTGTGAAGCTAGCGTAACGGCCAAGTTGCCGTGCATGATCTGACAATGGAAGAAATCGAACAGGAGCTTCAGGCCACCGGTAGCGCCACTTCGCCCGCCCCGAAGCTCTGGCGGTAGATTGGCAGAAACGCTGCGGATTATGGCAGCAGCGTGTGGCAGAGAGCTCAGATGATAGCCAGGCCTCGGCTATGAAATCTTGTCCTGGCATTCTGAGATCTGCTGCCATGTTGAGTAAGAAGCATGCTGCGCTGGTTGATGGGCTCGATGACCACCTCTCGGACTCTCGGTAGGACTCGCGGATGCATTTGCATGAAAAGGCGGCCGGATGCTGGCCTCAACGCCGATGGGGCCGAGGACGCGAACGGCACGTTCCAGGTTTTGCTGGTAGGTCTCGTCACACGTGTTCTCTGAGCATAAGCCCGCCAAGCAGTGAACCCGTGGACACGCGAGCCTGCGGGGTGCAAAACCTCAACGCTGTCAGCCCTGAGGCCCTACAGCATCCCCAGCGGCCCTCATCCCTTCCTTGGGCTTGTCTTGCGCCTCACTGCGTAGTCCACAGTGATGTCCAGGGAGCGCTCGAAGTCCTCGCGTGAAGCTCCTGCCGCCAGGCCGCGCTCGCCGGCCGTCCAGTCCCCGGCCTCAGAGAAACCCCTTTAAAGCCCCCCAACACTTTCCACAAGAGGAGTGGCCCAAGCCTAGGTGCCGACACGAAAAACCCTGCATGTACCTGAAAGACTGCTCGAGGAGCAGGGGTTCCCCCCTTGTTGAGGGTACTGACTGTAGAGTGCAAATGAAACAACGCATGGATCGAAAGGAGCGAACATGCATGCAATGCCAGGTCTGCCCAGAGAGCACAAGAGGTTTACTCCCCTAGGTAGGTGCGGTATCTGAAAAGGCACTGTCTGTCTGTCTCTCTGAATCTCTTTCTCATCTCAAGATGTGATGGCTCAAACGCCCTTTTCGCTAGCAAGCCATAATGGCACCATTGGGGCAGTAGGTTGTTTCGACCTTGTCCACCAAGTCACAACGTGTGGATCTAGGGCCATGCTGATGCCCCGAAAAGCTTGCAAAATGGACTCCTGCATGACATACTCATGTTTCGAGAGTCTCTGCAGCGAACGCACCAGTGAGGCGTTGAAGCAGAGATCTGTTCGGTGCCCCCCCACGGAGTTGTAGCGCCTGAAGACAATCTTCTCGGGGAACGGACGAAGTCCAACGAAGGCCGCCAGTTCATTGAAGATGTTGCTCGGTGTGTCACGCAGTTCTGTTTGGTGCAAAACAAAGAGACGACTCGGAAACAGCTCCGCCGAGGCTGCCAAATGCTGTGCCATGTCGATCCGCTGATCCCAGAATAACTTCAGCTGGCCATGTCTATCCGTCAGCAGTGCCGAAGTGCTTGAGAAACAGACTTCACTGCCGTCGCGGTGAGGCCCAGCCACAAGACGCTTCTGAGCCGCAAGGAGATCATCATGGCAGTACTTTTCCATCATGAAAATCTTCTCCATGCGACCGTGCCGGACCAGCGCAGATTGGAAGAGAAGGGGATTTCCAATACCAACTATGCGAGGTCGGTGTCTAGTCTCATTGAACTTTGCAGTCAGTCTTTCCTGCACCTGCGCATTGAATTCCTCAACTTGTGCTTTCAGCGGCAGCAAGCGGTTGGCTAGCTCGTAACTCAAGATGGTTTCCTCCTCATCACTTTTGATCACCACATCAGGATGAAGTTCCATGTTCTTTCGCAGGGAGGTCGTGCCACAGCGGTCGACCTCGACAATAGCGAAGTCTATGTCAAAGTCGTGCCAACCAGCAACTTCGTGGGCCACTACGACGTCCCGGAAACTTGCATTGCCAAGCATTTGTTGCGGCCTCTCTCCCATCAACATATCAACAGCCAGTGGGAAAATTTCTTGTACGACTTGGCTTTCGGTACAGCGTGCCGGAGCACAAATGCTAAGCCGAAGATGGCCCGGCAACTGGTCTCGTGCAGCTAGCGGAATGCCGAACACAGCTGCCAATCGCCCCGCAAAAGTGGACCTGGCACTGCCCTGTGCCATATCGTAGACTTTCCGGACATCGAGGGCGCAATCCCAGTAGCGACCACCCTCGATAGAGCAAACAGTCATGGCCTCCTGGGCCCCCACAAACAGAAAGGCGAGCCAAGCCTCCGTGAATCCTGACTTCACTGACTCCGGATCGATACCACGCATTTGGAAGATTTGCTCCCAGTACCAGTCTGGCCGGTGTGCTATTGGAGTGTAGAGCAAGGGACTCAAAGGTACGGATCTGAAGCCTTCTCTCCCCATATAGTACTCAGACAAACATGTGACATCTTCGCCGTTCGCTGCAAGGAACGATGCAGCACACACGCACGCACAAAGCTGCCGGCCATGCATGAGAAGCCAAGCGGCAAACATCTACCTTCAGAGTTTTTGGTTGCATGGCATGCGAGACGCTCCTGCTTCGATGAAATCCAGCGTGGGCACGTGCCTCTCTTTGCGTCTCTCGCACCCAATGTTCTGTGGACCATTGCACGACAGACTCCACTTTTCAACGGATGCTCTCAGTGGCAAACTCCACTCACTGGGATACATGAGCTCTGGATGCACAGATGTAAACCCGTTCGCGAGTCAATACTGCACCGACACCTAGATAACAACCATACTTCGGGCAAAACTTGTGAATCATGTTCTGACTTGTTGGAAGTTAGAAATATCCATGAACCGCCGATGGAAGATACCTGAGTGCACTGCTTCAGCCAGCTACTTCGGATGCCTTCTTCGAACCGGATCATACGATGATGTGGATCATCAAGGGTTCGTCCAGAGTTGCACCCCCAACGTCAAGGCAAAAAGCTTTACATATTGCAAGCTTGCAGGGGTTCACGGCGTGTGTCTTGATGGTCAAAGTCAGGTAAACACAAGATGAATGAGAGAGAACCAGCCCTACCGCACAAACACTGGCACAGAAACACATGTCATCCTAATATTCGTCCCGCACAGGCACTACATGATTGCTAGCAGCTGGCCGGCATGTTGAAGAGGACACACTTGAGGCATTCCTCCTGCAATGCACTTGCGACCTCGGTGGTCCGAAGAGGTGTCACAGAACACTCATGGCTTTCACGACTCCTCCATGCTGCGTAGCGACATGCTCCGGTGGGTGGCTGAAGAGCTCTGGCGTCGAAATCTCCACAGCAGCGAATCCTGCCGCCCGCGCCCGCTTGAGGCGATCAAGGAAAGGCACTTCCTGCGTGAGGCCGAAGCACTTGAGATTGCTATGGCAGGATGTGCCGCGAAAGTCGAGTTCGCAGGCTACGAGCAAGTCCTGGAAGAGCATCGCCAAATTGGCGGAGAAGCCACGCCGAGAAGCAGCCATGTCGTCTCTCTCACAATTAATATTGGATCACCTGCCTGTGCTGAAAGGTGCCTTCTAGAAGGCTCGACTTCAACAAAGACCTGGTAGTTGTTGTCCGCAGGATATGCTGCACAAGCTGTTCGTAGACACACCATCAGGCGGCAATGCAGGACTCCGTGTGACGCAATCTACACAGGCCAACACAGGGCGGTCGCAGGCTGAGGCTGACGCCCGAGATGTCACAAGGGGTAAGATGGAAAACCGATGAACTGCTCGCAGCACTCTGCCTGAACTTCTGAGATGGGCTACGTAACTCCGATAGCTCTGCACGAGTTTTGGCCCCGCCTGGCCGCTAGTCCTCGGCCGGCGAGTGTTGCTCGCTTGCTTTCTAGTTGATGAGGTACCTCTCAGTGATGCGAAATTTTGGATCCTTAAAAAAACTCAAGCAACATCGCCGGGTAATTGCACTCACCACGTGAATTAGTCGCTCTCGGAAAGGACCTTGGCTGCCACGATCTGAAGCCCGATCTCCGTCCATACATCTGGGTTACAAGTCTCACGTGAGAACCTGAGGTTGCGGCTATGGAGGGTTAGCTACAAGAGCGAATGGGTGTGCGGCTCAAGGGCAGGCGCCACACACTCGACATCGAAATCCGAAGCCCAGATAGACGAACAACAACAGAAGTGGGACGTGGCTCGAAGATGCAGTGGCATCGCAAGTTGTGCTTCTCCAAGGTTCAGATGTGAAACCGCTGTTTTACCATGAGCCAAAGCCAGCTACTCTGTTGCAAACTCCTTCGTCAAGTCGCATGCGCCACTTGGCAACAGAGGCGGTCCTTGATCGCCGATCCTCTGTCGCCAACATCGATCCAATCCTAACACTACTAATTCACGACCAGGTGCACGTTCCCGAGTGCTCCAGGCGTTCACGCGGTCGCTGGGCGACAGTGCGGCAGGAGATGCAAGCAGGTCACAAGTGCGAGTATGGCATTAAGGCTGACAAAACCTGTGCTGAAGCTCGTAGTACTTCAAGCGCAAAGGCCACACGAAGCCCGAATCATGCACATCACCTCACTTAAATACTTCGTGTCTGCAGCCTAAAGGGCATCACAGTCTCGATACGAGATGTTGAAAGGTGCCTTGCAGGAGCTGGCCTCTGGGAGGTTTGGCGCAGCAAACCTGCCAGAAAGATCTTAAGGAGCTTCCCTGGTCCTTTCACCAGGAACTCTGTGCAGTTGAGGTAAAGCTGCAGAACAGAAGAGCTGGCAGATGAGCAGCCCAGAAGTGGCGTAATTAAGCGGCACTAATTTAATTAGTATCGAAACGACTCTCGCTTCAGCTCTGCTGCATGCAGTGCGGCGATGGGAAGAGGAACTCCGATACAGCCGACAGCACGACATGCAGGACTGGCACGGCTGCGAGGTGGCGCCGAGGAGTGAAACATGGCACGTGCCCCTCGCAAATCACAGCTGACTAAAGATGCAAAAAAAACAACTCCATCCCTTTCCTTTCATCCCGCCTCCATCCATGAAAGTTCCCGAACACTTCGAGCCCTGTACGGGGCCGCTCTGCAGCTCCAGCCGCTGAGCTCACATGCTCAAGAGGGGCAACAGCACAGCCAAGACAATTGAAAAGAACAGATATCTACATAGCATGCACTCGGGTGTTCGCTGACCACATGGCTGGTCTGTCACTCTAGCCTCTTGCAGCATATCAGACGAAGTCAAGTCACTCACAGCGGACCTGTCCTGATATGGCCTCACCGCAAACTCAGGAGTTGTATGTGAGCTCTTCAGAAAGATGCATAGGTCAGTGCCCCTCAGGTGCAGGCACATAGACCGCTGAGAAAGTCCCCCTGAAGCATGATGCGGCCATGCATATTGGTTCGCCAGGTTGGTCATGCAAAGCCGACAAGCCCAACCAGCAAGGAGGATAGAAAAACTATTTTCCGCCAGGTGCGACGTTGGGGCAGTAGCTCCACAAAATCCCATTGCTTCGGTAAAGAGCCGCAGCTGGGCGAGAACACGTGTTTGCCCGTCTTTCTAACATGTAGGCCCTAAGTAAATTCCATCACGTCCAGCTCGCGAGCAACACAGCCTCCCTGCAGCTTCCAAGCACCGCGTTCCCGCCAGGGCTAAAATACTGGCAAAGCAGAAAGTGAGTAGCAAAGGCTTCGGGGAATCCACTGCCCTTGAAACTCAAGAGCCAGAGCCCAGGTTCAGATTCACGTTCACCGCCGGCTGCACAGCCAACTCAGCACGTGGATGCAAGTGTCAACGGCAACTCCACGTGGCTCAGGGGTGACGACTGTCCAGCCCTGAGCATCTCGCGAAAGGTGGAACGGGATGCTCTCGGTAGACATCTGGCATCGATGCATCGTTGATGACCTCGGGGCAGCTTCGAGCCGAGCCTGCTTCCCAGATTCCCTTCTCCTGCTCGGCGCCGAGCACCGAAGTTCACGTTGGCGGGGTGGCTCGGCGGACCCAGAGGCCCTTGGGAGAAGACCTGCGCTGCTCCCATCTGCTCGCTGCTCTGCGCTCGCACGCGTTCGCTCGCATGCGCTCTGGGGCCTGCAAGTTTCCCAATCCTTCTGGGCGTAGAAGAACTCGCAAGGCTGGATCGAAGGACCTGGTAGCTGCTTAGCTGTTGAGGCACTCAGGGCATGGAGGGAAGCTTGAAACTCCGAGGTGCGAACACTGAGACACCATACGCACGCTTGCTCATCAAGTCTCTCATGCGCCCTGCAAAGCAGCAGGATCGGTGCACTCGTTCTTCTGCGTTCTCTCCCTGCTTTCTTGTGTGAGTTCGCTAGGCGTCCGTGATTTCAGTACAGTTCCGGCTCTTGCGGTGTCTCGACGCAATCTGGCAGGCAGTAGGCAGCATGATCTGAAAAGATGTTTCTTGATGTTTCCGTTCGAAACCAAGGAGGCTTGCGGCTGAAACTTCTACTAGGATCCCGGACAAGCGAAACGGACATCCTTGAGAACCTGCTGGATGTCGTGGAGTAGCCACCCAGCCAGGTCACGCAATTACTGTCTACGACACCACAATCTGTCTGGTGAGTCGGCACCGACAACGGTACATCATTGCCCAGCCAAGCTACATCGGTTCTCTCGTTCTGCCTGCCCTGTGAAGGTCCTGATGCCCTTGACCACGTAAAGTGGAACTGCAACTGCATGGCATGCCACTTGTGACACAAGTTCGTTCATCAAATCTCCGCAACCCTCCACAACGGCTGACAGACCAAACTCGTCGCAACTTGTGCAGGTGGTGCTGTAAGCTAGCCCCTGCCGTTGCGAATTCACTCTTAGCACCTATCGAGTCGAGTCATACCACGTCATCTCATACACTCCACGCTCTGCGCTAGGTCTCTGGCGATCTTCCCACTTCTTTTGCAAAGTCAACCCTTCCTCGCTCTCCTGCGCAGTCAGCATGCGAGCTTCGACCTTCTGAGGATTGAAATGCAGGCCTCCACGGAGAACTGTAGCTCCCCGAGGCGGCGCTCCGTGGCAGCCTAGCTTTGAAAAGGCTTTCCAACACCCTCGCGGGAATGGCCCCGAGGCGGCCTCTTCGGAGTCGACTTGGCCTTCTGCCCACGAGGGCTGAAGCTTTCGAACCTCAATTGCGCTAACAGCGTGGCCCAGCCTTCCCCCAGGACGGAGGCGAGCCGAAAGGTATGCATCATCCGCATGAACGTGTCGATTCTCCGCGCTCAGCACAGCAGAGTGGTCCACCCCCGTTGCAGGCGCAGGGCCGAAGGGCCCCGGCAGAGGCTTTGTACGCCTCCACGGTCTCCTCTAGAATTGCCATCTTCTCCTGTGGTGTCGCTTCTCTCACTTCTTTCCCTTAAGCAGGAGACAAAGAACTCCGACTCCCACAGGCTTTGCCTGGATTCGCAGAGGGCCGCCACGCTGAGTCATCTTGTTCATCAGCGTCCTCTCTTGCTCTCTATCGCAACTGGCAGAACTCCTTCGCCTTCGGCCAGCCTGATGAGGTCAGCCTGTGCCTGGCGCTCGGCAATGACACGCTGCTGGGCAAAAATCAGGAGGACCTGAAGCTCTGAAAACGTTCTCCCCCTACGGCTCACAAGACGGTGAGACATCCGAGCTTCGGGCATCCTTTCTGATCCGATCCTTCAAAGCCTTTCTCTGGGCATCGCAGGAACCCTGCCTTCTAGATAGCAGGGATTGCAGGCATATGCAGGCATCGTTTGCGCAGCGGAGGGAGAAAGCAGTCCGAGATATCGACTGGCCAGCTGCTCCATCGAAGGCGGCCAAAGATGCCTGGACGGCTGTGCAAAATGCAGGCCGTAGGCCTGGGCCTAGGGCTTCGGCCTGCTCTGCCGTTCTCCGTAAGCATATGTATCATATGTTCATGGTCAGATCCTGTCCGGGCCTGCTCAGCACTGTCCGCTACGCTGCCGAAGCCTGGTATCCCGCGGCCCGCGGCCGATGTCTCAGTCCATACCCGCAGAGCGTCGTCAAACCGGTTTTGCCTGGGCGGTCTTTGTCATTCTGCGAGTTCAGCATCACTTATATATCTTATATATCATCTTTTTCTGGTGAGCTGCCCTGCGGTCAAGGCCTCCGAACAAGTCCCAGAAGCACCTGCCGTGTGTTAACGCAGCACCACCACCAACAGCAGCTCATGTATTTCGGCATGGCAAGTCTTGGGGCCTGTTGCGACGGTGGTAGCTCCTTCCTCACAGAAGTGCAGAACCGAGTGATTCCGCAATGTCTCGCGGCTCAAGATAGACATGGATAATTGCAGTCCTTGACTGCCACTTCTGCCCGGGGCCTGTAGCAAGGACTACTTTGCTGGGACAGCCAGAGAGCGTGGGAGCTGGGACCCCTGCAGGCGCCAGTTGACGGCCAGCCCTCGGTTGCGTGCCGAGGGCTCATCCCGCAGTCCTCTTCGGTTCTAAGGGCCGTGCCGCAGAGTGACAGGGCGGCGGTGAACCTCCAGGCCCGGCGTCCTTGAGCTGGGACAGAGCTCTCTCACTCTCCCTATGGGCCAAATTTCCAAATTTCTCTGAGCTGCTCAGTGGCGTCGCCATCGCTTGAAGACTATCCAGACAGGTGCCAAGAGAAGTAAGTGATGTAAACTGTCGTCGGCTCTAACCGGTGCAACATGATCTGGCTCTGACTCTTGACTCTTTACCTCTATCTGCTCTTGGGAAGATACGGCGACCCCGGAAGAAAAGCCCAACGTTCGCACACAGACACATCAGCAGCTCAGTCCAAGTCGCTGCGGGAGCATGCCGGTCAGTTCGGCAGGTACTCTTGGGACCGGGCTCTTCCAGTCACTTGCAGGGCTTATGCAGCAGCTTGCATGCCCAACATCGGTCTCATGTCCCTGGCAGCAAGCACACATCTCACCTTTAAGCGCCGAAAACCGCAGTAACTCCCAACCATCCAAACTGAGGAGTGGACATGGGCAGCCTGGGCGAACCCATGGGAGGAGGCATCATGTATGCCTGGAAGCCTGCCTGCAGGCAAAGGATGGCAAAGGCGTCAAAGTCCGATTGCCACGTTCGGCAAAGACAAGACTTCGGCTGCTCTTCCTGCCCGAGCTTCGGAGACTGCATCGGCGGCGGTGGAGTCGGGTCCAGCACCTTACATCAGCACACGGCACTCGGCCGCCTCCTGAACCTTTTGCACGGGTCTGCTCTGAACGCTGAATGCTGCCATTGGCACGCCGCCATAAGCCTCGAGATGGAGCTGTCAGAGTAAACACATTCAAGCCATCCATGCTCGTGCCGTCTTCTGACAGCTTCATACTACCAATGGCTCTTGGCAACAGTGCATAATGGCACAAGCGGCACAATAATGATTCTAACACTGACGCAACCGCTTGCCTGATGATGTGGTGCTGCTTGATAGGGATACTGATAAGGTGAGAAAGCTGCAGCTGGTGCAGTTGCATGTGTCACCATGTGCGGCGGAATGTGGGGTGGCAAGGTGCCCACGGGCGGCAGCTGCTGTGCCGTTTGGGCCATGGTGTGGGCTGCATGGGGCATTGGAGGGATGGCTGGTGCCGTGTGAGGCATTGTCTGCATCGAGGGTACTGTGTGGGGGGGCAAAGGTGCTGGTGCTGTTGGCACCATGTGGGCAGGCATTGTCTGCGCTGGTGGCGGAGGCAGGTGCTGTTGTGCCACCACAGGTTGCGCTGGCATCTGCTGGCTGGGCTGCGACGTCATGACAATGGTAGGAACGGCCTTGCTGAAGATTCAAGTACAGCCCAAACTTGTCTGCCTACCACTATGAATGGAAAAAACAACGTCTCAGCTGAGCTCTTGCATCGGTCCATCCGTGGCACCAACCTTTGTGGCCAACCACTGCAACGAATGCAACAAAGCGCGAGTGTTCCCTGAGGCATGCTACCGTTGGCCCGTAGATGATGTGCTGGCCAGGAACGGCCTGCCCACAAGGTGAAGTGCTGTGACAATGCCGCGGCTCCGAGAACACAGACCACGCCGGCCTGCTCAGCTGGCGGTCCAGCATATGTTTGGACAGGTTGGACGCTGAGAAGTGGTTTCACAGGCCTACAGTGCAGAGCAGTCACTTTAGGTGCAATATGCGCAATCCATGCAGGGCATGACATGGCCTGTCCGCTTCAGGGGGGTAGCCGGCATAGGATTGCACGCATGCCTTCAAATTGAACTGCAGTTTTCTTCTACTTCGGCTGATGGAAAATTGAACGCCTGCATTGGCAGAGCTTGCGATAGAACGAGCGGTGCTGGAGGAACCTCAGAAAAGAAGCAACAACTCGACGCCAGGGAGGGTGAAGAAGCAAGCCAACCTAGCCTGTGCAGGGGGCATCTGCGGTGGCCTCCCAAGCAACGCATCCGCAAGAACCCTTCGCAGAGCGTGCAATTGTCCGCTCTTTCTTGCATCCCGCCACGTATGGTAGCAATGCTCTCTGCGTGCCCTGTACAAATACTGGCGGAAGATTCAGCTCGCTGCGGCCGTCTTCCAGTCACAGCACGAGGCCCCAGACAGGGACCATCACCATCGAGAGCTTTGCTCGTGTTTGAGTCATGTTGCCAGAAATTCCACGGCACGCTCGAGGCTCCCCTCAGGATGAAACCGATGTAACAACTCACTTGAACGTACTGTGATGTACCTCTGGAGCTCCAATTCCCTGCCTCGGCTTTGAGGAGGATCTCGCAAAGAGCCTCGCGCCCACATCCTGCAAAGCCCATCTCCTCCAGCATTTTCACAGCCAGCAGGGTCTTGTCTTCTGCTTCACCTGCCACTCGCATCCGCACTCGCATCACTTGCAGCCGCAAAACATCCACCTCCACCATCAGGTCCACCGCCATATCCGCGCTTCGGCTCCAGAGGTGCCGTGCAGCCTCGAGTCGAACGAAGGCTTCGCCGCAGAGTCTCAGTGCCTGGAAGCTGAGTCCGCTAAGAAGGGCACGCCGCAGATGAAGGATCAACTGACGCATGCTGTCCCCAAAGAACTGGTGGCAGCGATGACATCTGAGATCCTTGGCACATGGAGATTCGACGGCTCCTTTCAGGTTTGCTCTAACGGCTTCAGCTGAGGCAACGACATGCAGCTGCACTTTGGATTGCAGCATGCTCCCTTGCTTGACGCACTTCGCCAAATCGTCCAAGGGCAAGAAAGTCTGTGGACCGCCCGTGAATTCCAGATAATGCTGCTGGGTGAGGTCCATCGGGTCTGGTGCCAGGAAATCTCTGCTCACGAGGTGAGCAGCCATTTGCTTCGAGCTCGGACACCGAGCTACTCGCACTCCGAGTTGAAACTCCAAATTGGGACACTCTTCCTTCAAGACTTGCCCAAGCAGCCTTCCATAGAGGCCCAATCGGCGCAAGGCCCCAGCGTCCGCCGGCAACAAGCTCGGAAACTGCAATCGTCGCTTGGTCGAGAGCACCTCTCAGATAAAAGACTTGCTGGGAGCTAGAACTTGTTTTCCCCCAACTCCCCAACTGAGTTCCTCACGAGATGAACAGTGCTTTTCGAGCGGGCAACGTACAAGGCGACGAACTCGCTGCTTTGATGGAAGACCATTTGGGAGATGCGGCCTTTGCCCTTGCTCTTGCGTTGGATGCCCGAAAGATTCTGGATCCTTCGGGCTGGTTCAATGAAGTTGCAAGCTCACATTCCCTGCATCCCAAATTCCTGCGGTCCAGGCGTCACCTCCCAAATCCAGTCGCCACCCTCGGACTCCACCTCTGCTTGTGCCCCTCTGGGTGGGGAGTACCGGCCAACCCCAGACAGCCTGACCTGCCAAACATGCAAAAGCGACTAGGGCACAATATGGCGAAATGGAGAGCTGGCACCTCTCGGAAGAGATCTTCGGCTCCGACGATGCTCTTCGCATCTTCCGGGTTCAATTCCACAGCTTTCCGCGGCGGAACCTCGGAGCGCAGGGCCGAGCAGCCGCCGCACCACCAAGGAGTGCGCACGATGTGACCCTCTTTTTAGCAGCCGGGTCACGGCCGGCAGCGTGGTGCCAGCGCCGTGAAGCTGGCCTGTCACAAAAGTCGACACAGAGCGGGGCGCCGGGCCACCCCTCACTTGCTCACCCACAACATATTCCTCTAAGCTCTCCTCCTGGCTTCCTGATCAGTGCGAGAAGGATCTTGGGCACTTCGTGGCACGGCTGCGGCAGCAGGCCAAGCCGTTCCTTCACCGCAGGAGAAGCAAACCGTGGGAGAAGCAAAGAAAGAGCAGGAAGCAAAAGGAAGCATAGAAGATGCTGTTCGCCCCTGAGAGAGGAGGCGGTGTTTCATCGAGGCTCGAGTTCCTTCCGGAGCGGCTGCGCATCGTCCAGGAGCTCTCTTTGGGGCCTTTCGGCATGGGCCGCAGATGCACCCTCCGCTTTGTCGGCTCCAAGACACAAGGCCAAGTGAAGATGTTCTATGCCCGAAGGCAGAACATGGTCGCAAAGCCTTCGCAACATTTCGCCCGTTGTGGTGGCGACATCACTGGGAGAATCCACTATAACGGGGCACAGTCTGGCACCATTTCGGCAAGTCTGTTCCACTAGGCTTGCATCGGGTACCACGTGCAGCCGGAACTTTTGCTTGTCTGGCAGGTGCTCCATAGTCTCCTTGCCTTGGGCCTCTGCGGCATCGATGGTCTCGAAGCCTGACGCAGCCCGCTGTGTGAGTGCTTCGGGGATACGGTGGGTTATGGTGGGTTCAGCTCACAGGCTCTATTGTCGGGGGCCAAGGCTGTGGTGCCAATCCCAAGCTCCGCCAACCTTCTCAGAATGCCATAGGTTACAGGAAAGCCATCACAGGCGTCATGCCGTTGAGGGGGATTCCTCAACGGGCCGGGTAATGTAGCAGTCGCCTGGAGACCAACATGTGCAGATTCCAGAGCACAACACGTCTTAAGCAGCAGCTCAGAATTCTGACTGTTCTGCTCTCACATGATTCCGAATATGTTCGTCGATTGGTGCTGTTGCTGAAACTCTGGTTCGATAGGGAAGCAGTCGGTGAACTAGTGGGTAACCAGCTAGATAGCCAGCTGGTTCGCTCGTTTCGCTCGTTATGCATGCCTTCCAGGGCCCAGAAGCGGAAGGTCAGGTTGGTGCGCTCGCGGTGAATTCCCTCCATAGCCGGGACGGCATGCAGCCAATGCCTCTGAGAGTTCTTGCCCATAACCACCAAAGAGCCATGAAAGAGTGGCAAGGTTAGGTGGATGATTCCAGCAATCTCCTCGTCTCGGCCCTTCCAGGCCCTTTTGCTCTTGAAGCAGAAGGGTCGTGTGGCACCAAGCGACAAGGACCCGATGATGGGATCGGGCCCGAGGCCTTCGTTGCCGTCCGTGTGCCAGTGAATCGTCACGGTACCGTCCCGGTAGTGGTTGAACCAGATGGCATTAAAGACTGCCTCGCTGGCCCCTTCGATCCTTCGTAGCAGCGACCTAGTCCAGGGCTCCATCTTCTGGGAAACATACGTTGCAGCTGCATCCTTAGAGCTATCGTACTGGATGCCGAAGTTGAAATCATCGCAAATCCGAGCCTGCCCCTTCCGGTTCACAGTTTCCTGCACAACCCCACTGGGCGTCTGGAAGAAATATGTTGGATGATACATGGTGATCCGATCTTGAACCTTCCTCTCTAGCTGATCTGCCTCACCATCATCCAGAAAATGAGGATACCAAAGAATCTCGGTATTCCAGGGAAGGCGAAGTCTGTAGGCCTTGCCGTCACGGAGTCGATCCTCCCACTCTGCCGTGGAGAGCTCCTCCCAACGCAGAGTCGGCAAAGATCCGGCTTGCAGCTCGGCGAGCCGCGCGGCTACCGCATCCTCCCTCTCCGTCTCGCGCAGTTTTGCACGTCGCCACCCGGAGGCGATTCCTTCGGCTTGGCTCCTCTCCCTTTGCCTCTTGCCTTCTTCCAGCAATCGCCGCTGGTAGAAAAAGTCAACCCAGCGCTTGTACAGCGAATTGGCCTCGTCGTGCCCGACCACTCGAATCGCTCGGTGATCTTCCCACATGAGATGCTGGATCTGGCATCCGCTCGGAAGAAGATTGCAGAGCTGCAAACGGTGGCATTTCTGAGGTTCGTGCAGATGACCAAAGATGCAGATAGGGCCGAAGGGGGCCGAGGCCAGCAGCCCCTTCAACAAACGCTGAATGTCTTCGGCCTCAGCTCCCTCTACTGCCTCCTCTCCCAGTCGATCGCCCCAGTACTCGTATCCTGAAGCGGGAAAAGAGTGGTGTTGGAGAGGGAAGGTGATTAGAGAGATCCCGGCCCGAAAAGTTGCCAAGTTGCTGACACCGATACTCAGCAGTGCTTTGGTGAAGTCCTTCCCACGGAACAGCTGTTCTTCCCGTCCAGCACGCGGGTTGCCACCTCGAGTGTGCCAGATCCAGAAGGGAATCCTCTCAAAGAACTGAGCAGCCGACGCACGTCCACCAAGAGCTTCACGTCCAACGAGGACAGCTGCCACAAGTAGACCTACGACGCGAGCGAAGCGAGCCGCTCTCCGTCACGGCTCTCGCGGCTCCGCCTCGCGGCTCACGCGCCAGGTTCCGAGAGTGTAGACCTGGTCACGCCCATGCAGTCCCAGTCTTCAGTTGGAATCCAAAAAAAAGACAAAAGCAAGGCTTATAGGGCCTGCCGTGAGTTTCCATCACCTGGGCTCAGAGGGACGCCTTGGAAGATGCGCGTGCAAGTCAAAGTCTTCACGCTGCTGGCTGCAGGCTGCATGCTTCCCTTCCCGTTCCTTCGCAATCGTGACCGAGCAACATAGCTTCCGGCACCATCGAGTCCGCTTCTCTGGAGCCGCATCTCGGTGGGCATTTTAGTGTGTGTGTGTGTGTGTGGGGGGGGGTTCTTCATTTGGAATAGCACAAGCTGGCGGGCCTGAGGCATGGCATGACTGCCAGGTCTGCTCAGTCATGGCATGATGAAAACTAGAAGCAATGGCAGTGCTGCACTCTAGGTTGTGTGAAAAGCTTGGCTGTTTGAAACACAGCTTGCCCGAGAAGACCATGTGTGCGCTCATAAAAGGGTCTATGTCAGATAGCGCAGCGAGTGTGACAGGGTGTCGCCATGAATGCAGCAGCGTTTCTGGTTGGTGGGCCTGTCAGTCTTTGGGGCACAGAACCGCACTTCACATCACCAGCATCAAACATGAGAACAGCCGTCGTTTCAAAACATGGAGGAAATCGGGAAAAAGAAAGGCAAGGCAATGCAACACGAGCACATGCGAAACCAACACGAGGTCCATCTGCATCTTGCAGCTGGCAATTGTCTGAATGTTGCTGTTGAGCTAAGGCATCCAATTGCCATCACAATCTGCCGTGCACTGACTTGTATACTCAGCTCCCGCACGCAGGCTTGCGGATGCCGAGGCTTTCGTGCTCGCGCTACCAGCCTGTGCGGCTGAAGCATGGCGCCTCAAGCGATGACAGTGCCTTGCCGTCAGTGACTGTGCTCGCGAAGTGCTGCAACGCAGGAGCTTGAAGTCGTGGGAGAGCTTGCCGCGAAAAGTTGGTGTAGCTATCATGGTCATAGTCCGACGTTGAAGTGCCATCAGCACCTCATCATTCCGAAAGGGCGGCTCATTCCGGGACGGCGGTGGCAGAAGGGCCGGCTCATATCCGCGGGACCGCAGCAAGCGGATGAGGGAAGCCGGGTCGTAACCTTCTCTCCGAAATCCGGGTGCCCAAGCGGCCAGACCAATGGCCTTGACCATTGTCGGCCGCAGCTTGTCGGCCAAAGACTTCAATACAGTCTCTTCCCGGCCATCGGCGTGAACCCGAAGCAAGTCCACGCTTTTGAAACCACTCCCATTTGCCCTCAGAATCTCCTCCAAGCTTCCTCGCCACTCTCTGCCTCGGCCTCGGACACCTCCCTCCTTCAGGATCTCCCGGGATTCTTGGTGAAGACGTTGCTCAGCGTGGGGACGCGGCGCTCCGCTTGTCTGAGATGAAAGCCTCACGGACAACCAGGCGCCCAGACCGTTCCAAGTCCCTGTGCGCATGACCTTCGCTGCTAGCTGGCAGGCTTCCACGGCCACGGCCGAGGCACTGGGGACTCTCGTCAAAACGTGGAATGTGCAGCTGCCCACGGAGGCTCCGACCTCTACAAATCGAAAAGACGAAGGGCTTCCAGCTGCGAGGATTTCTTCTAACAAATCTCGGAATGCTCTGTCACAGTGGAACCCCCTCAAGCCCCTCACGCGATTCGCTTCTGTGAACGACGAGGGCGGGAGGCGCATCCAAAACGTACCGGATCTAAGAGGTGTAGTGACAGGAGCCCAGACGCGGCAGTCCAAACGATCCAGCAGAGCGAAAACCAGGTGTGCGTCACTGAACATGAAATAGTCCAAGAGCCTCAAGGGCCGCTTCGTGCCGGTGGATGGCCGTTGGATCATGCAGTCAAGATTGGCCTGGGCCGAAGCAAGTAGTTGCCGGATTTGCAGGCCTGCAGCATCATCCCAGGCAGGGCTAGCCTGAAATCTGAGCAGCAAATCTGACAAGACCAGAGGGAGCGCGCATGGTCCGATCGGATCGGGAACACTCAAATCCATCGGCCTATCGGACGTCACTTGCAAATTCAATGCTCTCCACCAACCACGGTACTGGATCGACAGGCGCTGCCGTTTGAGCTCTCCGCCCAGCAAAGGTGAAGCCCTGTACAAGGCGTTGACGAAACTCACCGCACGGAAAAATGGTGCCGAGGACCAGTGAGATGGGTCGAAATGTTGTCGGAGACCTCCGTCTGTCATGAGCCGCAGCAGGTGCCTTTCGCCCATCCGCACCCATTGCTTGGTCTCCGCCACATGCACGAGCCAATGCGAAGTGTTAGTTAAGTTGAGGGGTCGATGCACTCGCCAGAGTCTGGGCACGAAGCGGTTCAGTATTTCGGCGGCTTCTGCTAAAACTGCCGTGCCCGTCAAATCTGGGCATAATCTGTACTGTCGCAAAGCTGCAACGCTGGAGATCGAAGGAGGGCGGTCCCAAATACCCCTCCATGGCATCCGCTCATTCAGCTGGCCGCGTTTCCAAGAACATGGAGCAGCTTGCATCCTATGGTCTACTAATCTGCTAGCTCAAAGCATTGCACCTCGCAAGTACAACGATTCGGGTGCTCTTGACACAGAGTTGACATGCGAACTCAAAGCAAAGCAACCCTCTCAGACTCTCCCAAACAACATCCCGCAACATCCTATCCTGTTCCCAGCTTCTGAGCCCCGCATGTTCCAGAACGTAGCCGCACTGCCTCAAGTCCAGGGGGTGGAACATGGCCCCAGCCATTGGTGTACCATCCTGGCCCGGTGGCCCCATACAGCCGGCTGCGCCACTGAGCAGCCGAAGACTCGAGACTGTCCTTCTTCTTGATCTTCTTCTTGTTCTTTCGCTTCCTCTTCTCGTGCTCGTAATGGCAGAACTCACAGTTGTACCTGAACCAGAAGTGCTTACCCGAAGGGTCAGACACACACAGATTACAAGTGCATGCGGACCCATTTGTGCAGCGTCCACGCGGGAAGAAGCAGCACCTCCATGGTCGGAAGCTTCAAGAAAAGCAAAGAGTCACGACAGCAATCTAAAGCATCCATGATCATGTTGCCTCTCCGTCTTTCTTAACAGCGCAGCGAACCAAGCTGATGCTGGTGTGCCTCTTGCAGCCGCCCTCATCATGGCCCTGCCAGATTCGCAGGGGCTTTTCCGCCGTGGAGACGTGGGCTGTGAGTCCTCCGAGCCCAGTGATGGATGTTTGGCTCCAGCCGGAGCCCTCGGCGCGTCCTCATGTCAAACGTAAACGCACCGAGAACTGTTCGCCGTCTCACAAGGCTTCCTCTGGATTCCGAAGGTGCACTGGGACCACCTGGTCAGATCCGGAATCATCCTCCTGCGGCATGCGAGAGGCAAAAGCACTTCATGACAAGGCATCTCATCTCCCGAACCTCGTCGTCATCCAGTGGCTCTGCCTGCTGCGTGGCCTCCGTGGTGCACCTCGAGAGTGAGCGGCTGTGACGGACCCTGACAATCGGCCTTCCGAGACTGCGGCGTAGTGCTTGAAATTGCCAAAGCTCTCGTGGGCGAAGGTACAGCAATAACACAAGCCTGCCGACCAAGCAGAGTGCCAAGGCACTGGAGATAGCAAGCAATGCTCCTTCGCAGCGTGGCTGCTAACGCGAGGATGAACTCCAGGAACTACCCCACAACTCCGAGGACTGCACGGGGATGGCTGTCGTTCCTCCCATGTGACCGGCAGACCTTTTAGTAGGACCGAAGCCCATGAAATGACTGCCCTCGCTGCGGCACTCGGGCCGAGGCTTTGCCCATTTAGCGCCCGATGGAGAAGGAGTCAAAGCCGGAGTCGCCACAGGCGATTGCCTTGCGAGGTGGGCAGCAACCAGGCGCTGTCATGCGCCTTCTGCTGGGGTCAATGCACGACACGCCGATGGATCACCTCAAGCTGAAGGCCCCTGTAAAAGCCCACTGAGAGCAATGATGAGGAGTCGGCAGCTGAAGGTGAGATGGGTAGCAAACCACCCTGGTGCAGCCAGAAGCTCCGTGGACATACGGACGGTTCACGAGGGTACAGCGAGCTAGCCGGCAGCAAGCGTGCCTGTGGACTGCTTTGCGATGGTGTGGGCAAAGCCCCAGTAACCGATACCAGTGTCCTGCAGCATCCGACCCACTTGGCCCACTTGGGTCCAGTGCCCAAAATGATTTGCGAGCTGGGGTATTTTCTGAGTTTGTTGGGGCACTGGAGATTCGGCGGCACCTCTGCAGGAAGCCCGGCGCGTGGTTCAGGTCAGCTGGCGCGGTGAGAAGTGGATTGTACCTCCACATGGCCGTTCAGTAAGCATGGTGAACCATGTGAACCCTGGGATAGCGGCTTTCGCACGGGGTGTCCAACTTCATGGCTGAGGGCGTCAAGCCTGAGGGAACCTCACAGGGCAGCCCGAGCAGCCGGCACTGACCACACAGCAGGCCTGGCCACTTGGGGGCTCCGGGGCTCCTCCAAGGCTCCTCCAAGGCTCCAGCGTCGATGAAGGTATTCTTCACCGGGAGCGGGATGCCGTTGTTCGTGGCACCAAGCCTGGGAGGTGCCGAGACGATGCGAGCTCCGGTATATGGGGTGTAGCTGGTTTGCTTTTTTCACTCGCAGCTTCCACAG